TTCTACTACAGATTAAAGTATCAAAACCGCTGATTGACTCAGAGGTGGGACACTTGATTAAGAAACATCACCATGGTTGTTACATACCTCTTATTCATTATAAAATCATACAGACGAGAAAATTTTGTACTTGATATGTTAGATTCAGACACTAAGCTATGATTTCTAGTTAGAATTCTCTGTAGCGCATGATTCAAGCTATGGGAAGTGCTTCACAATGCCCTTCTCAGTGAAATCTACAGTATAATGATTATAAAGATACAATGAAGCAAGATAGGACTAAAGTTGTTCGGCAACGTAACATTAACAGCCGTAGTGCGACGAGAAAGAGCGATTTTGGGTGTGCTCCATTGCTAATCAAGTAAGCGTGGAAAATCATTAGGTTTTTTTAAAGGATGCACTAATAAAGGTGAGACTCATCCTAAACACACCTACATATTACCCCCATTATATAGGTTAGATGGGAAAAAAGCTTTTTGAAGAATCACATTAATGTATCAATTAGGTTGCAATACTCCGAATTTAATTAAGAAATGACGTAAGCGTGGAATATTGGAAGAATTGTCGACATTTTTATATTAAAACCAGTAAGTCTTCAAGCGTTTTTAATATAATGGGATATGTCTGCCGAAATCGCTTTAAAGTGACTTATATTTCTCCGCTTTCAAAATGCGATCATATCTTACTCTTCTGCCAAGTTCGCAGATGAAGTGTAGGAAAAAAATTATCTGTTACCCTCGAACAGTCCATGAACACGCTAAGTCTTTATCTTTCATACATCTATGTCCTAGAAATCTGTACAATAGAGTAAACAACATGCAAAATTTGTAAAAAAAATGTAAAACTGATATCATTTGTACCCTGATCTTTGTCCAACACACACGATTCATCTTTGGTAGAGCTGATGGCTCGGTGACCACTGACGGTCATTTCAGCATAGTCTCCTTTTGTTCACTTAGTACAAGAGTATCGATTGGGATGTGCTTAGTCCGAATAAGGAACGATAGGCACACTGGGATAATGACAATGCCATGGAATAAACCAAGTAATGAGACAAGGCAGACTGTTTTCGCAAATGCCACGATGATGTAGACAGGCACAAAAAATAGTGGTAACATGCATATCAATGTCGATAGCGATGCCTAAAGATGCAGTTATTTAGTATTTTGCTTCAATGCTGCATTGAATTGGGGATATCTACCTCGGCCATTGGTCTTCCAACTGCTCGTAAAATTTTCGTAATTCGCTCTTTTGCATTCAACAAAAGGCCATCTCTTTGCCCAAGATGGTAGTGGTAGCAGACATGTGCACTTTATTAAGCAATATATGAAATACAGAAATGGCATCGTATTTTAGGTCAAAACGAACCTGTAGTCAACACTAAGTCCGATGGCCATCAATACATTGATCATGGTAACCGGGTCGAGACTTTGTCCCCACAGGGATAGCAGACCCAAAAGAGCTGCAAAAAAATTTTGTAGATTACTGTG